TAGCTCCGCTCGGTGCAGTCCCGGGAGCTGTGCGACAGGGCCGCTGTAGCGTTCCCTCCGGCCGCCTCAACGTGGCTGGCGAAGCTGCGGCGGATCTTCTGCAGGCCGCTCTTGTGCGACACGTAGGGCAGCCCTGCGACCCGCAGCAGCCTCCGGAACTTGCGGTGATACCAATCGACGCCGTTCTTCGTCGGCAGCGGGAACAGCATCGCCCGCTTCGGCTCGCGGATCTTGTCGATTGCCGCCAACGCCTCGGGCGTCAGCCGGTACAGGAACGCCTTGCGGCCGCCCTTGCGGAACTCGGCCGGGATCTCCAGGTTGCCGTCAGTGTCGATCCAGTCGAACCGGACGGCGAACAGGGCGCCCGTGCGTTCCCCCGTCGACCATGCGACCCGGATCAGAGCCCGCCACCAGTCCGGCGCGGGGATGTCGCAGACCATGCCGGGCATCTTGTCGCACGCCGCGTACAGGCTTCGCAGCTGGTCCTGTGACCACGCGTCGGGTATCCACTGGGCGGGCGGGATCTTCTTTACCGTCGGGAACCGGTCAACGAACCGCTTCTCCGCGCAGAACTGCCACAGCGCCCGGACCTTGCAGCGGTACCCGTTGACGGTCGACACAGACAACCCCTCCGCCCGTCCGGCCCGCATCCAGCCGCCAAGGTTTTCGTCGGTCAGGTCGTCGAGCGTCGGAACGTGGCCGAGGTACTTGCCGAACCGGTTGCACGCCTGCTCGAACTGCCTGACCGTGTTGTCCTTAATGCCCGGGTTGGCCGCCAGGTAGTGCGAGCGGTAGATCGCGACCAACGCGTCATCGGCCAGTGACTCGACCGGCGCCGTGGGGTCCCTGGGGAGCCACCGCTCGGGGCAGGCGTGCTTGGCGACCGCACGCACGCACGTTACGCGGTCGCGGGCCTTCTTCTCGCTGACTCCTATGTCTACCTGCCACTGCTGGAACATGGCCAGCTTGTGGGGCGTTACCTTGACCGGCGCCGCCGCGGCTCGGCTCGGCCCGAGGAACTTGTCATACGCCACGACGGCCGCCCGGTAGTCGACCGCCGTGCGCGGAGCAAGGCCGTCTGCCAGCCGCTCGGGGAGGTAGACGTCTTCCAGGTACCCGAGGATAGCCCCACGGCTCGGCGCGGATGACGTCGGATTCTTGAACCTCGCACCGGGCCACGTATCGACCGCGTCGACCTGCGAAGCGTACCGCCATAGTGCGAGCAGGGCGCTAAGCGCCGATGAGGAGGCGGTCTTGGCGTAGAGGCCGACCGCTTCGTCGGTCAGGTCCGACAGTTCCGAAGGGCGGCCGAGTTGCTCGGAGAATCCCCGGATCGCCCGCCGGGCCTGGGCAATCCTCGACTTGGCCGCCCCGCGCAACCGTGATGGGCGGTAGTGCGTCTCGAACAGTTCCCGCAGCTCACCGGCCAGCGGGTCCGCCTTGGGCGGCACTCGGCCCGGCTGCCAATGGCGGATCAGATACAGGATCACCTTACTCCGGGCCTTGGCGGTCTCGGGCTTCACGCCATCGGCCGCCGTGATCTCGCGGAACTCGGCGAGTATCTCGGGGGTGATCTCACGGAGCGTCAGTTGGCGCCCGAAAGCCCGGTCGAACTTGGCGATCGTCTGCCGGTAGTTGGCGACCGTGCTGCCCTGAAGCGGTCTGCCCTCGTCCTGCTTGGCGACCGTGTAGACCTCCCGGAAGTAGCGGGACAGCGTCCACTGGCCGTAATCGGGGGGGCTGCTCATAGCTCACCTCCGTTCCGGGCGTCGAACTCGGGCCGGATGTAGTCGCCTGCCAGCTCCAAGCAGAACCGCAGGCAGGTCTCGGGGTGCTCCATCGCCAGGATCTTGTCGCAGGCTTCGAGCAGCTCGACGAGGTAGCAGTCGCAGTGTTGGACCCCGGCGCGGCGAAGCGCCCGGATCAGTCGCTTTGGCGTCGGCCTGCTAGTCGGCATGACAGCGTGCAATTCGGCCAGCGTGCAAAGGTGACGTCGCAGAGCCTCTCGCAGCTTCGCAGCACACCCGAGGGTGTTGCCGCGTTCAAACTCTTCAATGGCTCCCCGGAGCATCGGGGCGGCCAGGTGGGACGTGACGCGTCCGCCTAGAACGGGTACGGCATTCCAGACCATGAGGTGGCCTTTCCTGCCCGGTCAGAGTGACGGGGCAAAAGAAAGCGCGACCATGCGATGGCGTTGTCAGGCGGCGTGGAACCGCCCGGAGCCCTTACGGGTACTCCACACCAGCGCATGGCCGCGCTCTGATTTCCACGAGAGTTTGACATCTCTTATCCACGTGCTTGGCCAGCAGGTGCACCAGAGGGCAGCCGCAAGCCGGGTAGCTTTGACGGCCGCATTTTGCCCCCGGCCACCCGCGGAATCAAGCCCGATCACCCCAGCGGAGAAAATGCTGGAAACCGCCAGGCCCCGCGGTCACAATAGCCGACCTGACCAACACCACAGGCCGCAGACCGCAGGAGCCCCATGCCCGAACTCACCCCCCGCGAAGAGAAGATAATGCGACTCATCGTGGATGGAGCGTCAAACTCTGAACTCGCAGACCGGCTGGGCGTCGCACTGCGGACGGCGGAGCTATACCGGGCCAAAGTAATGATCAAGCTTCACGCCAAGTCGCCGGCGCAGTTGGGGTATAAGTACGCGTTGCTGGAAATGAAACGCAGCCAGGTTGAGGCGACCCCGGGTTAGCGCCCATTCCATCGCGCCGCCCCGATACGTGGTCCCAGCGGGGGCATGTAACATTCGACGCAAATGCCGAGGCAGGTTTGCACCGTAGGGGCCTGCCGCCTATAGTCCGCGTGGAACAGCGGCAACCATGCAGCGCTAGGCTTAGCGTGCGTCGAAAGGGCGGAAGTGGACAGACAGCATCTCGAACAAGTCGCTCGGCAGTTCAGCAACGATCTCTGGACCCCCAAGGAAGCAGTGGGTTACTGCTACCAAGAGGTGTCGGATCTGGAGCCGACAGCCAGGGCGCCAGCAATCCGCGAAGCGGTCTCTCCGGCGATGTTCGAACACCTACGCAACGCCGCTGTTCGCGCCCTCGCCGCCATTCCGCCCGACTTCAATCACTTCGGGCTAGGGCTGGTGACGCCCGGCGCGGCCTGGGCCGTGACCGAGGTCCCGCGGAGCTTCGTCGAGTCGCTGGCCAACGGCGATGCGCCTAACTAAGGCGCCGCCGCGATCTCCCCCCGCCGCTCGCTGGGCGTGGAGTGGACTTGTTCGACCATGGCGGGGCGATTATTGCCCCGCCAACCCGTGATGCAAGGCAAGCACTGCATCTTGTGGAGGCGCTTAGCCGCTATCACCACCCGCCCGCCCGATTTCCCGGAACCTCCAGCCTCTTGGCCCAGTTGGATCTACAGACGCAGCAGCTGATGGGTCGGGCGCCAACGATCCTGCAAGAATCCAGGCACAGCCCCCACCCCCACAGGCAGTTACCGTGCCCCAGTTCAGCAAGCGCGAGCTAACCCTCCTCAATATCTTGATCGGCGGCGATTCGAGCTTCGCCGCCGCCGCGAAGATGGGCCTTGCCCTGCAGACCATCAAAACTCACCGGCAGAAGTTGATGGAGAAGCTCGGCGCCGCCACGCCCGCTCAGCTCGGCTACAAGTTCGCGGTCTGGAAGAAACGCAACCCAATCGAGTCACGTGTCGATCGGGGGGACGGCGCCGGCGATGGTGGCGCGTCGAAACGCTTGTAGCGGATGGCGGCGGAGTTCAAGCCGCATTGCGCTAAGGCGGCCAAGGAGCGGCAGAAGCGCACGCCGTCTACTTCTGTTCAGGAAACATTACCTGAACAAAAAGGTCAAGCACGTGACGACGCAGATAGGCTGACGGGCCGTCACCCCAGTCGGGTGCCGTTAGGTGCCACATGTCCGGCATGGAGTTTGCTGAATAAACAGGGAGCGTCGGCCCGTTTTCGCCGCCGTTTCTTTGACGCTGTATGCCGGCAGGCGTATCCTAGGATTGTAGGAAGGTTGCACCGAGCCAACCCCCGTTGCCGATACTCATCCGGGCGGTTACCCTTGGCACGTTCGCCATGAGGGCGAATGTCTCGACACCACGATGGAGGCCGACAGATGTCCCACGCTCTTAAAGAGCTGCTTTCCCAGTCCCGATCTGTCAAAATGAGTTCTGAGGACCAAGAGAAACAGCGTGTGAGCTTCGCGTATGGGAACACCCATTTCGAGAACGAAGCCATCACAAGGGAAACCGTAGAAAAAGCCGCGGAGCAGCTGCGTGACAGCGGAACGACGCACTGACGTACAACGGGATAGCCGGCCCGACTCTCATCAGCTCTTCGCGGATGCCGGCGAGAAAGCCAGGCTTGAAGCTCGGAACGGACTAATTCAGTTCGACGAAGTCTTGCGGTTGGCTGACGAGGCCATCTCTACGAATCGGTTCAAGTTACGGCTGTCGACGCTTCAATCCCTCCAGCGGCTTGCGATCAAAGACATTTACACCTGCGCGGGTAACTTCCGTACTGGTCCAGTCTTCATCGAAGGGACTTCACACGCTCCCCCTCCCCCGGAAGCAGTTGCAGAGAGTTCCGAAGACCTCTGTGACTACGTCACTGACAATTGGGACAAATCGCCCATCCACTTAGCGGCGTATGTGATGTGGCGAGTGAACTGGATTCACCCGTTCACGGGCGGCAATGGGAGAACCTCGCGGGCAGCTTCCTACTTGGTGCTCCTCGCTCGGCTCGGCTACCGCCTTCCGGGACACATGACAATTCCCGAGCAGATCGTGGCGAAAAGACAGCCCTACTACGAGGCTCTGGACGCTGCAGACTTGGCGTGGAAGTCAGGCAGTGTAGATGTCACAGTGATGGAAGACCTTCTTTCGGAGCTGCTAACTAAGCAGCTGATTGCGATACACGGCGACGCCACTGGTGCCGAGTGAAGCAGTCCCGCGCCGGCGGCCGCTAACGCACTGACCCGGCGCGGCACCTACCAAGTTGCCAAACAGCTCGGTCTCAACCCTCAGGCGTCGACCTCAATCTCCCCACCCGGAAACACGTCCGGCAGCCACCCCGGCTGCCGCCAGTCGACACCCCGGCGCCGGGCCTCCTCTCGCTCGTCCCAGCCCTCGCGGATCGCAGCGGCCCGCTCGGCGATCTCCTCGGGTGTGGGGTCCCTACTCCTGGCGGCCCGCGTTGCTGGACCCGATGGCGTCTGCAGTCCGTTCATTCGCAATGGCGCTCCGTTCCAGGTACCGACGCAGGTCCCGCAGCAGGTCGGCGTCTAGCGATTGGTCGTCGGCGAACTGGCGGAACATCTTGCTCTCCGTAATCAAACCCGACCCCATCGTTCTTGGCTTTGATCTCGCCATCGACCCGCGTCTGCAGCTCGGCCGCCAGGTAGCTCAGCCGATCAGCCTTGCGACCCCCGCGAAACGTGCCGCGGTCGTCTAGCCACTCGCCGATCTCCAGCACGGCATGCACCAGGCATTGCCTTAGCTCGTCGTCGGTTAGGTACTCGGCTGGGGTGTTGTCGTCAGGCATGGTCGTGGTCTCCCCTGGGTTGGTCAGTCACTCGGACAGATTTCAGTTTCGTCCGAGTGGATCAGGCGGGGATGACACACACCACTCGGACGGACAGGCCCCCTATAGGGGCCTTGTCCGAGTGTGTGTGGTCCCCCAGTCGGACAAGTTTGTCCGAGTGAGCTTGTCCGAGTGTCCGAGTGGTCATTCCTGGCACAGTTCGTACCCCCCATATTTCTGGTTGTTGTCTCGGGTGACCTCTGCCGATCGGACCGTTCCGTCGGCTTCGAGGTGGCAGAACGCCGCGTTAGCACGTGACCCGGTTATCTGGGCAGCGTCCCTGATAACGCTCTTGGTTTCCGCCCGCCCCAGCCGCGTCATCACCGCGACGATCTGCCGGCAATCGCTATCGAGTTGCTCAGCCTTCCGCTCGGCCGCCTTGGCCTGCTTGCGTTGCTCGCGGTCGTCGGCCTTCTCTTCGAAGACCTCAGAGCTTGGCCGAACCTCAACGTCCCACGTGCGGGGCGTGTGCGGGCTGTAGACCCCCTCGGACACGTCGACACCCCAAAGCCCGGAGTGGCCCGCAGAGCCCCCCACGGACAGCCACAGCTTGTGCTCGCCGCTGCCCGGCTTGTACTTCTCCCGGCGCCCGATGAGCCACCACTGGCGGGCAAACTCGGCGAAGCCGGCCCAAGCGATGTCGGACAGTTCCGGGGGGTCGCCGGCAGGCGTGGCAGTGTTCTTCTTCGTGTGATGAGCGAGCACCATCGTCACGCCCAGCCGCTGGCAGATGGCCGCCATGCCCCGGAGCAGCTCACCTTGCGCCATGAGGTTGCCGCTGTCCGCCGACGGTAGGCACAGATAGGCGGGATCGATAAACAAGACCTCGATCTTGTTCTCCACGAGAAACCGCTCGATCGCTTCGAGGTGGTCCAGGTCGCCAAACTTGGGGACGTCTGGCGACCAGAAGAGGTTATCGATGTCCGCTAGGTGATGCCCGGCTGCGGCTGCGATGCGGAAGGCGGTTTCTTGGATGGTCGCCAACCCAGACTCACCGGACATTACCGCCACGCGGGCGGCGCGACCTACAAGCAGCTTGCCGAGAAAGTATCCCGCGGTCGCCAGGGCGATGGCCGCGGCGATGATGAATGACGTCTTAAGGGTCTTCTGCTGCCCAGCGATGATGAGCGGTTGGCCCGCAACCATCGCGTTCTCGATGAGGTATTCGAGCTTGTAGTCTCCGGCGGCCAGCTCCCGACAGGTGATGAGCTGATAGGTGACGGCCGGCGGAACCTCATCGGCTGCAGGCTCCGCGTCGTCTGGATTCCATTCGGAGGACGCGTCGATGATCGCCTGCAGGTTCCCGGCGATTACCTGGGGCTCGGCCGCATCGCCGTGGTTGTTGATCCAGTCGACCGCGTCGCCCTTGGTGGGCATGGGGCTTCCGTCGATCAGGTCCGGGGCGGTCAGCGTCCGGATGCGCGGCGGGTTGGTGATTACCGACAGCAACTCCGTCACCTTCTCGACGTAGGCGCGCCCGTCCGGATCGTTGTCGCCCCACACAACCACGTTGCGGCCAGCCAGGGGGCTCCAGTCGGTCTTGTCCGGGGCCTTGGCGCCGCCGCTGCTCGTGACCGCCAACAGTCCGACCGACGTTAACGCGTCTGCCGCGGACTCGCCCTCGACAATAAGCACGATCTCGCCCGGGCGGTCTGCGACGCCCAGAAGGTTGTAGAGCGGTCTCGGCGCCGGCATGTGCGTACACTGCCACGTGCCGCCTGCCTGCGTGAACTGGCGAATAACCTTGTCCTCGCCCGCCGGGTCCCAGCGGAGCACGACACCGCAGGCGATGCCGTTGCGGCCGGCGTCGTCGTCGCGGAAATACTCCCACTCGCCGGTGGGCTGCCCGTACTTGCTGACGAAGTAGCTGCTGGCCTCGCTGAGCGACGCATAGCTCCGGGTTTCCTTGGCCTTTGAGGTTGCGGGCCGGGGCCTCGGCGGATCGTAGTAGGCCAGCGGATCGTCGCGGAGCTTGTGTGCCCAGCCGCCATTTGGCCGCGGGTTGCTGGACTGAACCCTCATGCAGACGGCGGCCTCGATGGCGCCCTCCGGTCCGGTCAGGCAGCACCAGTCGGGCTTCTCGCAGACCGGGCACGGCTCGCGGCGGCTCGCCTCGCGCCAGTCTGTGCCGTTCATGGTGGAGGGAAACGCGCTCAAGCCGACACCGCCTTCCCGCCGTCGCAGACCGGCTGCAGAACGGGGTCTAGCCCGTCCATGAAGGCGAGCATTCCGTAGGCGAGCTGCAGGCCGGCCCAGACTTCGCCCGAGTTTTCCTTGGCGACGCCTTCGAGAAACCCTCTCGGCCCGCCGCGCCGCTCCCACTCATGGTGGAGCTTGAGGACTAGCTCCTCGCATTGACGGGCGCAATCCGCTGCCTCACCTAGGATCGCACGCACCTCCTCGTCGCTGAGCGAACCGCCGTCAACTTCGACGTCAGGCGGCTGGATGTCGATCGGCACCGCATCAACTGCGTCGTCCTTATGCCGAACGACGGTGTCTAAGTGCTGCGGCGAGCTGGTGGTCGGACCCGGAGTGGTCGCGGTGGGGCTGGCGGGCGGGATGTCCTCGCCCGCCTCGGACCGCTCATTCTCGTGGCGGGCATCGTGGACGGCGTCCCGTACCTTGTCGGCCGTAACTGCATCGCCGTGCTCTTCCTGCAGCGACTCCCAAATGCGCGCCCGATCCTCGGCTGGCGCGTATGACAGGGCGTGTGCCTGTTTGTAGTTGGGCTGTTTTGTATCCCGCGGAATACAGTTGGCCGCCTCGGCCGCACGCATCACGCCGTATCCCCAATTCCGGTTGTGACCCCAGCGATGGCGGATGTAGTTCTCGAAGGTCTTGTAGCGGACCTTGTAGAGCTTGCGATCGTGAATTTCTTTGAGAGCCAAGCCGACTTCGTACGCCGCCTGCAGGCCTCGTTCGATGATGGCCTCGCATCGCTTGAGTTCCTCAGCCGTCGCGGCCGGGTCGACCAGTTCGCGGTGGGCTTGTTGCCCTCGCTGCACTTCCTGTGTCACAATAAGGTCTCCAGAGTCACGCCGGCTTCCCACTACTGCCACGCGGTGGGGGGCCGGCCTTTTCTGTGCGCCGGCGCCGGACGGGGTAGGGGCCTAGACCGTCGACGTCTCGCGTTGGGCGAGCCGTTCAGCCAGCTGGGGCATCCACTCGATCGCATCCCGGCCGCGAACGAACACGCGCTTGCCGATGCAGAAGGTGGGCAAAGGCAGCCCGACTAAGCGGGCCTCACGCAGGCGGGTCTTAGAGAGACCGGACGCGCGGATGAACGCGTCCTGCGGGTAGATAGCGTCGGGCAAGATCCCGACGGTGTTGGCCGCGTGGGCCGTAACTGGAGAAGGCATTCTGCTCGCTCCGATGCGGTTGATTGGTTGTCCCAAAACAGCTTGGGAACAAACGCCACAACCGCATCATTACGATGCGAGCCGATCGTGCAACGCTCAGCGGCGACTATCGGATTCCGGTCGGATTGCCGGATTAAGATCGGGTTTCAATCGCATTGTCGCGGAGGGACTGGAGTCGCTTCTCCACGGCAATTCGGAAGAGTCTTGCGCGGTTGATGAGATCATTCTTGCGGGCGTTATCTATGATCTCGTCCAGTATCTTAGTCGTGTCCTCAACGCGGTAGCGATAGTTGCTCTCGCCCCTGCCGGGCGTCTTGACGCCGGCGCGCTTCGCATAGCCCCCGACGCACTCCGTTGTGACGTCCAACTGCTCGGCCAGCTCTGACGGCTTAAAGCCGTCGGTTTCCAGGGGACGCTTGGGAGATCGCGGAAGCGTGACGCTATCGGCCACCTCCTGGGCCAGAATCCTCAGCCGGTCACATAGCGAATCTATATTGCTCGTCCGCCGCGCGACTTCCCCATGACTCGTCATCGCGAATAGCGATCTAACCTCGCGGCTCAAAACCGCAAAGTCCTGCGACAGGCTATCAGAGATGCCCGCTTTAGGCAGAAGTTGCTCGCAAGCGGCGAGGTCCTCTTCGGAGCCCGGAAACAACTTGCCGCTGGGCGGATACTCAGTGAGAACCGCGTGTTTCCAATCACCAACCATCCGTGCGTGGTCGGGGCCGCGCTCGGCCTCGCGAGCCAGGGCGGCGGCGACACTTTCAAGGCACCTCGACAGCTCTGCACTGCCACTGTTGAAGAAGCTGGGATCGATGTCGCCGGCAAGGGCGTCCTGCCATCTAAACTTGTTCATCAGAATCCATCCTTTCGGGTTCCAACCCGCCCGGCCCGCCGCCGGAAGGATGGCACCGGCGACAGGGCAGGGCGACGCCGGGGATCAGCCGGCTAGCTGGATGTGTTCACTGGGTACAGGTCGAAAACCTGTACCCACTTTGAAGTGAAACAACGCTGTTCGCAGCGTTATTCTACCGCGTTGGGTATCGAAAACCCCGGTGAAAATCGGAACCCCTACCCAACAGCTACGCCCCGTTGAATTCCTAAACCGTGTGTCGCAGGTTCGAATCCTGCCGGGGGCGCTCTTTAGTTCGGCCGTTCGAGGGCCGGCGGCGCGGCTAGTCGGCTAGCACGAATTGGCAGCCGTAGTCGTAGAAGCGGCTCATCGGTTCACACCGCATCACCTTGCTGACCACCTCAATCTCGCGGAACGGGAGCGTCTGACAGGTCCACTTCAGGGCCAGGAATTCGGACGTCACGGCCCGCGTATGGAGCAGGCGGACGCCCGACTCCGAGATGTCCCGCACCGCTAGCGTGAACGGCTCGCCGCAGCGGGCGATGTGACGCGTCACCGGGACGGCGAGCGCCACCGACCGCACGCGGGCGCGTTCGCGGCGGCGTTTCTGCACGTCGCGGTCGCGGAGCTTTTTCGGCGTGCTCTGCTCGGCGAGCGCTTCTTCCTCCTCCAGTCGATGGATGAAGTCGTTCACGGCCGCCGGTGGGTCGGTCATGGCTTCGCTGATCTCGAAGACCCCCTCCAGCCGCTCGGAGAACATCTCGCTGAGCTCGAGCAGCGATCGCTCGATCGTCGACAGCAGCTTGATCGACTTGGGGCTCTCGCGGTCGTCGTCGTCGACGAACGCGGGGTCGATAAGCGATGCAACCCGAGCCGCCAGCTCTTCAAAGTCAACCGGCTTCTGCAGGATCTCGTCGATGCCTCGTCGCCGCAGGTCTTCCACCAGCCGCGGCTCCGCCAGACCGGTCAGCACGACGATCTTGGGCCGGTTTGGCCAGGACAGCAGCTCGGCAGCCAGGGCGTGTCCGTGGACTCGGGGCATACGGAGGTCGGTCACCACCGCGTCGTACGGGTACCGGCCCGCCAGCAGCATCGCCTCCTCGCCGTTGCACGCCACGTCGCACTGCAGCGAGCGCTTAGCCAGCGCGCGCGAGGCAAGCTCGCGCACATACGGCTCGTCGTCAACCACGAGGGCTCGGTATCCGGTGAATTCCATGTCGGCGTGTTCGCTCTGAGCGAGGCCTTGCGGCCGAAAGGTACTACTCCGCAGCGATCGGGTCGTAGCTTATAGCGGCTGCTAGCCCTGCCGCCAACGCTGCGGCGTCCAATGGCTTCTGCAGCACGTCGATGTCGTCCATGTCCGCCAGATCCTGCTTGACCGCGTGACGGACGCCCGCGATGACGGCACACGCCAGGCTGGGCGCAACGGCCTTGAGTCCGGCAAGCTCCTCTCGCAGCGCCGCGGTGGATGCATCGACATCCACAACTAGCAGGTCAAACGTGTCTGGGCGGACGCCCAGCACTTCGCGCGCAGCGGCGATGCCGTCGGAGCACGTGACGCGGCAGCCGATCGACTCGAGCATCCTCCGCGTCGACTCTCGGAACGGCGATTCAGGGGCGACGAGTAGGACTCTTCGGTTGTGAGGTCGGGTTTCAGGGGACCGGTCGATCTCCGTCCCCCCAATCAGCGGCAAATAGATGGCGAAGGTCGTGCCGACGTTGGGCACGGTGTGCAGTTCTACGTGGCCACCGAATGCCTCCACGGCGCCCAGCACCGAGGGCAGGCCCAGCCCGGACCCCTTGCCCACCTCCTTCGTCGAGAAAAACGGCTGGAAGATCTTCTCGACTAGGTGGCTGAGGACCCCGACGCCCGTGTCGGTGACCAGGATGCGGGCGTACCCGCCTGGTTTGAGTTCGCCAACCGTCGCCCCGTGCTCCGCTGCTAGCCAGAACCGGTGGGTTTCGATCTTCAGCTCGCCAACGCCGTTCATCGCGTCGCGGGCGTTGATGCACAGGTTCAGCAGCGCCTGCCGGAGCGAGGTCTCGTCGGCGAGAACCAATAGGGGTTCGTCGCAGGTGTGGCAGGTGAGGTTAATCTCGTGCCCAATTACCGGCCCAACTAAGTCCGCTAACGCACGCGCCGCGGCGCCGACGTCCACCAGCCGCTCGTCTTGTTCCTCGGCGCCTGCAAAGTCGAGGAGCCGTCGGGTCAGCGCCGTCGAGTGCCCAACCGCGAGTAGCGCATTGGTAAGATCTTGGGCCGCGTCGCTCTCTGGCGGCAGGGTCCTCAGCACGCAGTCGACGTAGCCGCGGACGGCCTGCATGAGGTTGTTGAACTCGTGCGCGATACCGCCGGCAAGGCAGTCCAATGTGTCTAGTCGCTGCCTTTGGTAGAAGCGTTTCTCGCGGTCCCGCAACGCTTCGGCCGTTGCTCTGTAGCCAGTGATGTCCTTTATCGAACCCGCGACCGAGTAGGGGCGCCCCTCGTCGTCTTGGTAGGCCGCGGCCTGGGCCCGCAACCATAAGAACTCGCCTCCGTTAGCCTGTAGCCGGAACTGCATGTCGAAGGGCCTGCCCGCCTCGCAGCACTCCTGCAGCTGCTCAGTGACCGGCAAGCGATCCGACGGGTGCAGCAGCCTGGTGAAGTCTCGGCCCGCCGCCGTATCGGCGACGCTGTACCCCAGCAATCGCCAGAACTGCGGGGCGCACCAGGTCTCGCCGTTCGGGCGCCACTCCCACAGGCCGTCGCTAGACGCTCCCAGCGCCCTCTCCCAGGGATCGCTGGGCGTCCCACTACCGAACACTTGCTGAGGCAGCGCCAGGGGGCACATTGGATTGGGGCGGGGCTAAGGACCTATCGGAAACCGGTGCAACGCCCGGGCGCACTGCCTTGGGCTGCCAAACGAGTAGGTCGGCCGGCGGGGTGGAGAGGTGGAGTACCGGTCAACCCACAGCCAATTGCGTAGATGCCGCTGGACTGGGATTGCCGTCCGAGAGCGGCAACCGGCGTGACGCCGGCAAGTACGCGCGGCCGGCACAGCCCGAGGAATCGGAGCAACTGGATTCTTAGGCATCTTTTTGCAGAGGCCCGCTAGCGGCGTATGTTTGCTCGACGCTCTACACCGACTCAAACGTCTGGACGAGCGTCGCGCGAACCCTGATGCGTTCGACACCACCCACGGCCGAGCAAGACCAATGGCGGCTAGTTCACCACTACCCTGGATGCTGATCAACCTGCTGTTCGCCTGCCTGGCGATCGGGATCGGGTTTGTTGCAGGCGCGTTCTTCTTTGGCGGGAAGAAACGCCCAGGCGACGACGACCAGGGCAACGCCCAGGAGGTGGCGCTCGAGAAACGCCTAGCGCTAGAGCGGGCGCTGCTGGCCACCGGCCAGCTGCACGACATCGCCACTGGCGTAGCGTCAGACGTCGGCAAGCACTCGCGTTGCGTCGAGCAGATCTCGCGCGACCTTCGCGCCGCCGAAGACGCCCACGGCGTGGTGGACCAGTCCATTGTCACCACGGCGCTGACACGGATTGTCTCGGCCAACGACATGCTCCAGAAGAAGCTTGAGAAGGCCGAGAAGCAGATCAAGGCCCAGGCGGCCGAGATCGCGATCCACGAGAGCGAGGCCCGCACCGACTCGCTCACAAGCCTCGCCAACCGCCGCGCGTTCGACGACGAACTCAAGCGGCGGTTTGCCGAGTGGGAACGCAAGCAGACGCCGTTCTGCCTTGTGATCCTCGACGTCGACCACTTCAAGAACTTCAACGACACCCACGGCCACCAGGCCGGCGACGAGGTGCTCAAACGGGTCGCGGCCGCGATGCGCAAGAGCACCCGCACAATGGACATCCCGTGCCGCTACGGCGGTGAGGAGTTCGCCATCGTGCTGCCGGCAACGTCGCTCCACGACGCCATGGCGCTCTCCGAACGCGTCCGGACGGAGATCGAGGGGGGCGTCCTCGAGCACGAGGGCAAGAACCTCAAGGTCACCGCCAGCATCGGCGTGGCTCAGATTAGCCAGGGCGACGACGCTAAACGCATCCTCCGCCGCGCGGACGACGCGCTCTACATCTCCAAGGACGAAGGCCGTAACCGCGGCTACGTGAACATCGAGGGCGAGTGCTACGCGGTGCTCGACAGGA